GCTATTGGCTGCTGCCTCCCGTGAGACTTTTCCAAGACCTTTCCAGGACAGACACGCCCTCCCCCCTACCCTCTAGAGTTGGCACAAAATTGCGGCGAGGAATCCTCCCGTGAGACCTTTCCAGCCTGCGGACTATGTGAAAACAGAAAACTACGTTTTTCCAAGCCGCAATCTTCGGTTTGTAGGGTCTGGGAAAACGGTTTGCGGGAGAATTTTCACCTTTCCGTGGACATCTGCCGCAGGCTGTGAGGTCCTGGAAACAGTTTTGCGGCAAAGTTTTTCCTTTCCGCGGTCCTGTGGGTCCAACTCTAATATGTATTGATTTCAAGGGGAAGAGGGGGGGGGGGGGGGGGAGGGACGAACAAGCAATCTTTTCTGGAGTGTTTATTCTGCTGCTGTATGCATTGAATTGTATTCACATTTCAAATTTCAAAGTGAAAAGTTTTAGCAGGAAATAAATCACATGCCTAACTATTAAACGTTGAAACAAATCCCATGGATGCCCCCTCCCTGTCCCACCACCATAACCAGCAAACAGCAAACCGCAAACAGCAAACAGCAAACAGCAAACAGCAAACAGCGAACAGCAAATAGCACAGGCCCAATATATTTTTAGCGCAGCTCCAGAGTCTAGACTCTAGACCGAATCAGGGGTACTGCGGACTAAGTGAACAAAAGAAGGAATGAGAGGGATTCAAACTTGAGTTTAGAACCGCAGAGGCTTGAGCAGAATTGGGGTCAGGCAGTCCACACTGGTGCTATGTTCATGCTAGGAAAAGCATGAACCTAGCTGCAATAGCAGTTCTGGTTCGTGCATTTCTAACGTGAAAATAGCACGAACGTGGTCTGACCCTTGGGCTTGCTAGGCTGAAATGAACCAGGCTGTGTACTTTATGAAGTAGGATGACCGAGAAGGTGATGTGTCTGGCCAGCTTGCTCTGGCAAAACACTTGACTGTCTGTGCAGCGCAGCCGTTTGCTTAACTTTGCTACCCTTTTTTTTTTTGGGACCATTTCCCCGATTGATGCGTGTTATTGGTATCGTTCCAGTTTTTTAACGGATGTCCCGAAGGACAAGCCCTTTGCTCCCTACTTTGAAAACATCATCATCGTTGACGATCCAGATGCGATGCTCTTACCTGTGTTGCAGATATCGATGGCCCAGGTGCAACCATGAATCCTTTGTGTGAAAAAATCGAAGAGCGTCCTTGGAAGATCCAAGTCTGGCAAACACTTCCTTTTTTTCACTATGAAAAAATAAACCATGAAGCGCTTTCTGTTCGCGGTGGGACCGTGCTTTGAACTCAGAGAGTCCCATCATTCCCTACTGGTAGCTAGGTTGCAGGTGGTTGGGACTCTTGGGAGTCTTGAGACGCTGGGTAGGTAGCAGTCAAACAGTGAGTGAGAGCGATTAACCATCTCTCCTCATTAGTAAGAGGGGTTTTTGGAGTGGGAGGGGGGGAGGGG